TATTTATAAATCACACCCAAATTTTAATATTTATATATTTAGAAATGTCTTTAATTTGGATTACTTACAAGGCATCTAAAACATTACTATCTACTCTTTCATTCATCAAATTCTCACTCAAATATCAAAGATCTTATCAATTCAAAATGATCTGATCGTAGCACACATAAATATATCGATTTTATAATTTAAAAATTCATTGAATGTTCGTTTTGTAATTAGTAATATTTTTCATGTTCTATATGTAATTGTCCCTTTCATTTAGAAATAATATCCACATTTACTTTCCTAATTTTTTTAAGGACTCTCGGGAGTAAAAGAAAATCTTTTTTAATCAATCCTCCCAAAAGTTCGCCGGATAGGACAAACGGCGGCGTCCAACCGGACCATCGAACACTCTAGAGAACCTTGACCATTTGAAGGGTCAAAAGTCACCAATTCTTACCAACGGTGACTGAATCCATTCACCTAGACACTACTTGCCAGCCTCGCGCCCATTTCACAGGGGAGAGAGGTGATTCGTCGGTCGCTCTGCGCTTGCTCACTGTTAGATCGCTTCGGGGTCGCCTGAGGTAAACCCTAGATCTTCAATTCTTTCATCTTTCGATTGAGAGCTGGTTCTTCTTTTACCTGTCATAGATTACTTTGTTGTTTCACTCTTTCACACCTGTTCAATGTTCTTGCGGGAGGTCGATAGTAATTTGGTCGTCGCTTTCTGATGGTTTTTGGTTCTTAATGAAAAAAATCGATGAAGTTGTCGTTATGAACTGAGTTTAGTTATTTATGGGGTGAACGTGTTCTGTTTGATGAAAAATTATTATTGATTCTGCATGCGCATGGTTCCAATGACGTGATGACATGTGAAGCTATTTTATGACAATCGTCATTGTTATCAGCTTATCTAATCGGCTTGCTGAATTATCTTGTTATATTTTTTTGTGTCAAAATTATTTTGCAGGGATTTCGGAATGATTTCTAGGCACTGGGTTCTTATATCGGTTTTATGATTTCATTTTTTCGATCTTATCTGTGATAGATGTTACGATCGCTACCTTTATAGTGTAATTTTTTTCAGTTGATCCTTTGTAAGTTTGCCATTAGTCTATGTTGGCATTCTCGTATTCACTATTATGTTTTAATTCCAGCTATTTATGAACACGGTGCAAGTTCATTTTATTGGTTCTGATTTGATAATTTGTATGGTTTCAGATGTTGGATTTTAATTTGTTTTATTTAGTTTTTTATAGTCATTTGTTGTAGAACTTCCTCTTATCCTTGGCTTTGGGTAAATAGATCACAGAAAACGATGGTGAAGGCTCTAGCTGTTCTCAGTGGTTCGGAAGAAGTGAAGGGAACAATCTTCTTTGAACAGGAAGGAGATGGTAAAGTCAGAAGCCACCAAAAGTTCATCTAGTGAAGTTTATATTTTATTTGCAGATGTAGCTGATTTCTTTTGTAAATTTAATGATATTTTGAACTTTTATCTTCTTCTTCAGGTCCAACTAAAGTTACAGGAGTCATCTCTGGTCTTAAGCCTGGGCTTCATGGCTTCCATGTTCATGCATTTGGGGACACTACGAACGGCTGCTTGTCAACTGGTGCTGTGTTTTTGATAGCTGGGTTTATAATGTTTCAATCATGATTTATCTTACCAAAGAAATTAATTAAATTGTATTTGATGATTGTTCATTTTATTTTCTGTGGTAATGCAGGTGCTCATTTTAATCCTGCTGGAAACGAACACGGGGCTCCTGAAGATGAGAACCGCCATGCTGGTGATCTTGGAAATGTGAAAGCTGGAGAAGATGGTATTTTTTCTATCCTGGATTTTCCTTTTCATTCAATTTGTTTTTTGAGTTAACATGATATGAGCTTTTCTTTTTTCCTAATTCAAAAGCAAAAGCTAGTTAGATTGGTCTGATTTTGATTCAGTCCTTACAGTTTCGGGTTGTTATTATCTTCCATGCAATTTAAGCAGTTTTTTGGTGTTTAGATTGTATATAACTGTCAGGCTTTATGTTTGGGGTGTGTTTTTTTCATAACTTAAATTATCATGCATACAATCCTTCATACAAGGCTGAGTTTCTTTTCTGGTTCAGGGACTGCTAAGGTTGAAGTTTCTGACATACAGGTAAATTCTTGTGTGTGTATTTTTGTTTTGAAAGATTTTTGACCTTTCACAACCCTCAACTCTATTTTCTGCTCTTTAAAGTGTTATGTTTTTTATGTGACAGATTCCTCTCAGTGGCCCAAATTCTGTCATTGGAAGGGCTGTTGTAGTCCACGCTGATCCGGATGACCTTGGAAAAGGTACAGTTTTTTCTTTTGATGTATTGATTGCTGTTGCTTTTAATTATGATGACACAAAGAAAGAAAGCAGGTGCAGTGACTAAAGCATGAAGATTTATATTTGAATTTATTAAAATATATTTTTCATTTACCATGCTGATATGTATTTTTCAGTATGAAGGACATTCTGGTTTAAGCAGCATATATTTGGATGAACAGTATGGTGATTTTTGTTTTTT